CTGTCTACAGCACGCTGAGCAGACTTGGACAGGTGGCCTATGGAGAGCAAGGACGCAGGACCCAGCCGATCCCACTGACTCTGGCCTTTATTCCGACGTCTCCTTCTTCTACAGAGTCTTTCTGAGTAACTGGAGGAGAAAACAGAAGGACTTGAAGTGGAGCGATATCAGGAAGGAGAATCCTGAGCCGGCCAAATAGCTCAGCAGATTAAAGCTCCTGCAAGCAGGCTCAGGGGCTTGGATTCAATCCCTGGGCTTGGCCTGCAGGCGCCGCCCCCAGGCATGCTGAAATGGCCCTTGAGACTGAGTGTGGTGGCCTGCGCCTGTAATCCCAGCTCTTTGGAGGCTGTAAACAGGCAGATCAGTACAAGTCGGATCTAGTAGTGAGACGGTGAACACTGGAGACTTCCACAAACTGAGTAAAGCTGCATTGATTAACCTGAGAATTGTCACTTTATGACATTGGGTCTTGTTGCTCTTAAAAAGACCTCTACAAAAAATGCATACATATCACACAATGTTTTGTTTTGTTTTCACATGAATTACCTTTATTTTGTATGCATCCACATTTCAGCATTTAGTGGTCCTGAACAGACAGTGGGAAGATGCAGCAGGAGCCGGGAGGCAAGGAGGCCAGGCCTCCAGTCCCCAGAGCTGCCGCACGCCAGGCTGCTCCTTCATCCCTGCCGAGCCTAAGCAGCAGCACCAGAGCCAAAGTCCACGCCGGCAGGGTTCTTCTGTTCCAGTTCTCAGACTGCGCACCGGACCCAAATGGAGGCAAGGCGCCCAAAGGAAAGCCTGTGTAAACTGCCTTCAGCTCCAAAGGGAGGTGGGTGGGGGAATGGGAACAGTGCAGACGACTGTGTGTGCTGATGAGTGGCCTCGCTTGGTCTGCCCGCCAGGGACCCGGGGTGCCGGCAGGTCTGTGTGACCCCAGCAGCTGCTCTGTTCCCCTCATCACACCTGAGCTGAGACATCTGCTGATGGTGGCAGCAGGTGGCAGCCCAGGGCCCGGTACTCACTTCCCACACTGGTGGAGAATGAACCACTGTGGTTCCAAAGCTAAGGGAGCGAGACCCAGTCCTAGCCCAGGTCCGGTGAGTGTGTGGAGGGCTTCTTGCTACCCTGCGCCGGCGGGACCAGTCCCAGCCCAGGCGCAGCGTGGGCCGGACCCTCTCCCACCCCCTCAGGCCGCCCCCCACCACTCCGCAGTACCTCCCCCACGCTGCCTGCTGAGTAGGAATTTTGCGGTGTTCCGGGAACCCCCGGACCCAGTCTTAGCCCAGGTCCAGTGAGTGTGTGGGAGAGCTTCCTCTTCCCCCTACTTTACCTTGCCCCCTCCAGGCACAGCTCAGACCTGGCATACAGGCCTGGGGTGTAATCCTGCAGCTGCAATCCCTGCAGAGAGTGTAGAGGATAGATCCACCCAGCTAGTCCAGGAGCAGATCATCTTGCCACAGGGGCACAACAGGTTCACCCTCAAGGGCAGCAGTGGGAAGGAGCTGAGCACAGCAGCCAGACCTAAGCCAGACGCAGCTGGATAACTCCAAACTCTGTAGAGCTGCACCTGAACTTCAGTACATGCGAAGGTTATAACTACAGCAAAGATCTACAACAAAGGGCAGAAGACAGTGCTACACAAAATGATGAGAAGGAACAAAATGCAACCTCAGAACCCAAGCCCACCTGTAACAAGTGCAGAGGACACTAACACAGAACAAATTGGAAATCACACAGCTGAAAGCAATAAATCAAGAGTTTCCAAAGCTAAGGGAGAGAGGTCAGACTCTTTCCAACCTTACCTAATGGTTTCTGGCCAGAGGAAGGAAGGGGCGTGGAGAGTGCTGGGGGTGACATTGTGACAAAGGGGAGGAGGAAGAGGAAAAGCAGCACCCCTCAATCAAAATGGGGGAGAGATGGGGAAAGCCCTGAATTCCTCACCGAAGTCCAATTTCAGAGGGGCTCAGAGGGTTACAATCTATGCACTGGCAAAGGTGCGCTGGAGGAGAGCAGGACAGGTCGAGGGCTTGGAAGGGGGCGGCACTTGAGACCTAAAAGCAAAGAAGCCAGGGCGCAGCCAAGGCACCTCCACAGCCAAACAGTAGCCCCACAGGCAGCAACCTGAAGCCTTCCCTTCTACTTAACCAGCCACCCAGGCCGGGGCTCCAGGTGGCAGAGGCGGGGCAGGGAGGGGCAAGGCAGCACCCCGCCGGGAATCAGCAGCAAGGTGGTTGTGTGACGGGCCTCTTCACAGTTAAGTTAGACAGGCCCCATCAGTCCAGATGGGGATCGATTTACACATCCTTCCTTGGTCCCAGAAGTTCACCCATGTGGACAGTGGCCATACCCCACAGGATGATTGTTATAGCACAACTTACTCAAGTGGCAAAAGGTTCGTGTCATTTACAGTATCTTAAGATATGCTGCCTTGGGCCCATGAGATAGCTCAGATAGCTCAGCAGTCTAAAGCGACTGCTCAGACAAGTTTAGTCAAGTGCAAAGGGACGTGGATTGATCCCCAGCACCACATGCTACACTAGCTCCACCCTCAGGGCAGGCTGAGCTGGCCAAAAAAAAAAAAGATACGCTGTCTTTCAATGGGAACCTCCTTTCCAGTACTTTGAGGTCTACAAGACATAACTAGAAAATATACTACTGTTGAAAATAAAGACTGCTTAAATTGAATTGGGGAAAAAAAATAAATTGAATTGGGGTGTGGGCTGGAGGGGAGGTTCAGGAGGTTTTGATTAATTGCTCTAACACTGTCTTTCAGGCAGCTGAGGAAGTTTCGTATTTTCTTTAGACACCATTAAGCGCCAAAGCTCTTGCAGAACAACTTTGATGCTATATGAATTCTGCTATTTTGCTACCACTGATATGACTCTTGGGTCCACCATTCCGTTAGAACCATTAACTCCATTCATATTAATTCTTGTTACAAATCTTACAAAGGGGGTGCTTCTGGGTATTTATGTTCGCATCTATTTTAAGGGTATACATTCGGTTTTCATAAATTGTCCAAGCCCGTGGTTACTGCCATCTTGCATCGCTTGAGCTCCAATTTTTTTTTTAAAAGATATATAGTGAACAATTAGGTCATGGATTTGAGGTGCCCAGAAAATCAGATTATGCTTGGATTTATAAACACACAAATTATAGTTGAAACTGAAGAGGGTTACACCCTGTGCACTGGTTCCAAAGCTAAATGAGGGAGGCATGAACCCAGGCAGACAGCATGAATTCCTTTCTGCAGCTCCCTTCTACCGCAAGCCTTTCCTCCTCCTCGTGGGATTTGTGCAATCTCTGTTTTGGGTGCCATCAGCATGCATTATCACAATTATCACAATGAAAACCTAGTACAACCCAAATAAAAAAAATTTTTTTACAGTTTTTACAAATATTGTTTATTTTAATGAAGCTGGTACACACGTCCATTAAAAACCCATATCCCAGGCCAGAAAGTACAAACAAAATCAAAAGGAGCAGTGTTCTATTATACATACATCTGCGTGAGTAACTTTATTAATTTTGAATGAAAATTAACTTTTCTGGGATCTTCTGACAAGATTTTTTTAAATTGTAAAACTGCTTTCTTTTCAGTGAAGCTACCCTTGGAGTTGATCAATCTCTCACCATGTCTGTTATCTGGACATGAAAGCTCATGTTTCTCTTCTTTTTGGTCCAGACCCTCAGATTTTAAGCTTCAAGTTAAGGAAAGGTCATTTTTCCACAGTTCGGTTCTCTGAAAAACTTCTACCTCCCACTGAAAGTTATAGTCCAGGAGTGAAGCAATCACAAGCTCGAACTTCAGGGCCACCTGAAAAGGCACGAACTTCAGGGCCACCAGGAACAATCGCACGGGTCGACCTTATGATCACAAGCCTGAAAATGCACAGTCCTGAAATCTGCAGCCTCTCTGTGCACACATGTAATTTTTAAAATGCAGAAGACAATGTGAAGAAAACTGAGGTTTGATCACCAAAAAATCAGCACGACGAAAACAATGAATAATGAGCACTAGAATTCAAATTACTGGATGTTTTAAAGAGATGGGATGCCAGTTTTCATTTCCATTTTGAACACCACATTACAAAAGAACTATTTTTTTAAAAATAAAAAAAGATTGAGGGAAAAGAAAATGAATAAAAAGAATATCTAAATCGTTGAATGACCCCCCGTTTGTTCCTGATAAACTTCAATCACATCTTCCTCCTCCATTCCCAATTCTTTTGGAGTATGATTATCAGCAATTCTCTGACCTTCAAAGAGAAACCTGAGTGAATTCATTGGAACGCCCTGTCTTTGACAGTCTGATTCTTTGAGTTTCTTGAGATGTGCTGTCATTTTCACTTTGAAGTGAATCTCACGGCTATCCTGTCCAATGACTTTGAGTTTAACGTACTCGCCTTCCTTCTTATCCCCAAGTCCTCAGTTGATGGCTTTGCCTCCTGATCAGACATGGCGATGGAGGCTCCCCGGGTCTCCGCACAGCAGCGGCCTCGGGGCGGCAAAAACCTCTCTCGCTCCGCTCCGGCGTTTACAATCCCGTCTACCTACCTCACAGCACAACACTACAGAGGACCCAAATAAAATTTTTAAGAGCTAAAGATGTATGGAATCAGTTTTGTAAAGGCTGGTTGTGAGCAAGTTATGGGAGCAGCTTAGTGGTAACAGCTTTAACTATGAATAAGATTTATGGAACCGAGACGTTGTCTGCGGAAATCATCCTTTGCAAACACCGGGATGTGAGCCATAGCTGCGGCGTTCGCGGACAGTCCGCGCCGGAGCTTAGCAGTGGTCACCCTCAGAAGGAGAAACTGAGGCTGAGAGGAGGTTACTGCAAGTGAACTGGACAGCTAACTGGTCGCCCTGGAAATAATCAGAACTTATACCTCTAACCAAAACGCTCCAGAAAATCCGCAACAAACTGCGCAAACTCTCGCGATAACTACGCGCCCTCGCGGAGGCGCGGGCCCGAGGCGCCAACTCTCGCGAGCGCGGCCGCGGGCTCCAGACGGCGGCGCCGCGTCAGAAATGGCGTGGGCCGGGCGGCCCGCTGGCCGGGCGGAGAGCCAGCGGGAGCAGGACCTGCGCGCGCTCATCCGCCAGGTCACCGGCCTGCAGGACGAGGCGGACCCCAACTTCCAGCTAGCCCTGAACTTCGCCTGGTCCAACTTCAGGTGCGGCGGCGGCCGAGTGGGTCCCGGAGCGCA